ATGGTTTTTATTTTTTAATTTTTTAATTTATTGTCAAATTGGCTAACATACAGTGTGTAAATTGTGCTCTTGGTTTTTGGGGTAGATTCCCATGGTTCATCACTTACATACAACACCCAGTGTTCATCCCAACAAGTGCCCTCCTCAATGCCTATCACCCATTTTCCCCTCTCCTCCACCCACCACGCCATCAACTCTTCAGATTGTTCTCTGTATTTAAGAGTCTCTTAATGGTTTGCCTCCTTCCCTCTCTGTTTATAACTATTTTTTCCCCTTCCCTTCCCTAATGGTCTTTGGTTACCTTTATCAAGATCCACATATGAGTGAAAACATATGATATCTGTCTTTCTCTGAGTGACTTATTTCACTCAGCATAATAACTTCCAGTTCCATCCACGTTGCTGCAAGTGGCACAATTTCATCATTTTTCAAAGCAACCAAATACTTCCTTTTAGATCCCCAGCATACACACCCGGTGTTCTTGCTACCCTGGCTCTCATATTCAGAATTTCTCAAACTTTTTGGTAGTTAAGTTCATTAGGATATAAACAGAAGAAACTCTCTCAAAGAAGCATAAGAAATGGTTGCAGTGGCATCTCAAAGAGGCCAAATTCACCAGGTACAGCCAAACATAACAAATTCTAGGATGCCATCAGTTGCCTTCTCTCCCTCTCTCCTGCCCCCCTCCATCTCTATCTCCATCTCTACCATCTTTATTTCTATCTCTATTTCATTATTGCTCTGTACCCACTTCTTGCACCATAAACTAGCTTCCTGATCATTTGTCCACTCTCACATGGCCTTTTATACCTGCCCATGAAGTCTAACTCTTCTTCCAGTTCAATTGCCCTCAGCAAACTCAGACACTGTAGCCCGTGTATAAATGCCCAGGACAGAGCTTCTAATTGTGGCAGCTCAAGCCTCATGTCAACAAAGCTCCAATTATTGCTGGTCAAACAGCGGCACTTTCTAGGATAAGCCCAAGAAAGATTCTCTTAGGGGAGGGTGAGATGGGAGGAATTGATCCCACATAATGAATATAAAATAATCTCTCTTTGTAGGCTTCTGACTGGACTGCATTTATCTCTTCTTTCACAAATTTACACCATCTTGGTTTTCTTTACCTTCTCATCCTTTCCTCCTCTTCATCATCCATTTCCAATATATCACCTGTCTTGGTTGATACATCTTTGTCCTTCAGCCATGCCCATAGGCTTGTTTTATCTTCCCTACCAAGAGTCTGAGTGATGTAAGACTCTTGGTCAATTACACATTATCAGTCTCAACTTGGTATTTGCAACAGCTATCCTTAGGTCTCTCTACCTAAGACTAAAAACTATATTTTAAAAAAATTGTTCACCATAAAGAACTAAAGGAAAACTTCATAAAATCACAGATTTACCCCAGACGAACCCTGAAAACAGAAACTTTCTTCTCCCCAAATGCAAAAAGAAACTTCAGTACCACTGGTCTCTTAGCCAAAGTCCTACTTAACACAATACCATGGGCCTCTCACAGACTACATGGTCCTTGGAGATCAGTCTGCTATTGACATTGCCATGTAAATAATTGATGGACTGGGACGCCTGGGTGGCGCAGTCGGTTAAGCGTCCGACTTCAGCCAGGTCACGATCTCGCGGTCCGTGAGTTCGAGCCCCGCGTCGGGCTCTGGGCTGATGGCTCAGAGCCTGGAGCCTGCTTCCGATTCTGTGTCTCCCTCTCTCTCTGCCCCTCCCCCGTTCATGCTCTGTCTCTCTCTGTCCCAAAAATAAATAAACGTTGAAAAAAAAATTTAAAAAAAAATAATAATAATTGATGGACTGACTATATATGGACAGAAGGAGCTTAGCAATGCAGAATCCAAAAGGAAATGGTGAGGGGCCATGAAGGAAAGTTCAATCCCATGGAGAAAAGGTAGAGGGATGTAGAGTATCCTGCCTTCTGTCAGAAAACAGAAATCAAGAACAATAGTCCAACACAAGAAGGAAAGAGGTTGTTCTGAAATAAATCCTGAGCTTTCCCTATGGCAATATATTAATACCACTGACAATAGGAAGCAAACGCTACTTCTACATGCCTCATGCTCCTGAAGAAAAATGGAGCATGCTGCAGAATTAGACATACCTGTTCTCAAATCCCAATAATTCAAGGTACCTGCTATGTGACTTTGGGAAAGTTACATAACTTCTGGATATTTAATTCCCTCATCTACAAAATGGACAAAACAGTAATAGCAATAATAGTAACTCGTCTTATATTTATCATATTCCAAGCACTTTTCTAAGCACTCTACATACATTTACACATTTATTAGTTCATATGACAAATTTATGATATAGATACTATTCTTACCGCCATTTTAGAGATGAAGCAACTGAGACACAGGCTAGGTAACTTGCTGAAGATCACATACCTACTAAAGTAGGTGACCTGAGAGCTTAATAATAGCTACTGCCTCAAATGTTGTTGTAAGCATAAAATAAGAGGAATGGAAGTTGCTACAAACCTGCCCAGCTCAAGTAAACCACTCAAAAAACTGACATTGTTGCATTTTTTTAAACTATTGTTATCATCATTATCGTTTCAGTTCCCACAAGGCTTTTATCCTGTAAATGACACTCTTGTGGCAACTTCCTCATGAGTCTGTTGGGAATATCATCCCCAGTTACCTGTCAAATGTTAATCCCCAACATTATTTCTTCTAAGGACTAACTAAAATTTTCTAGACCTGGGTCCCCAGGGCATAATTTATCCCTTAATGTCTCTGCTGAGTAAAGTAGATAAAGTGTGTATCACTCAAACTGGTATAAAATCACAAAGAAATCCACAAGTCTTTAGACAAAATGGAGAAAATGAGACTTTGAAGAATAAAGATTTCCATTAGCTTATATAAGGCAGCATTTTCAAGAATTATGGATCCAATTCTAATTTGAATCAACTGTAGAAAGAGCAGTAGCAAGTGAGAGCTAGAAACTATTTCTTTTCAAACCAGTGCTCAAGAAGCTTGTATACTTTGCAAGAAAACACAGCATGGATCAGCATTAGAAAAGAAAGTATGTTACGTTTTATTCTACTTTTTCATCCACATCTGACATCTCAATTTTGATTCATAGCATCGAGAGGTAAAATCCCTCATCATCTTTCCTGAGTATCAAAAGTGAGTACATTGGGGCGCCTGGGTGGCGCAGTTGGTTAAGCGTCCGACTTCAGCCAGGTCACGATCTCGCGGTCCGTGAGTTCGAGCCCCGCGTCAGGCTCTGGGCTGATGGCTCAGAGCCTGGAGCCTGTTTCCAATTCTGTGTCTCCCTCTCTCTCTGCCCCTCCCCCGTTCATGCTCTGTCTCTCTCTATCCCAAAAATAAATAAACGTTGAAAAAAAAAATTAAAAAAAAAAAAAAGTGAGTACATCCACAGTCATCAATGTTACCGGCTGTGGTGATGGATTAGAAAATCTGATTATGATTTCTACTTTTGTTTTCTAACATTAAAAATCTTGTTTTTTAGGGGTGCCTGGGTGGCATGGAGCCTACTTTTTAAAAAATCTTGTTTTTTAAAAAATGTTAATGACCAAAATGGGTATAACGTAAAAGGGAAAATCTTCCACCCTTTGTGCAGTAGCATTCCAGAAATAACTATCATTGACCATTTGGTATTCTTCCAGATTATTTCCGTGCACTTAGAAATATACATATAAATTTCCAGTTCCCTACACTGATAAAAATCACACTATATATAATGAATACCAACCTGTTTATTTCACTAGGAATATATTGTAATCATATCCAAGCCAGTACAAATCAAATTTCCCATTTTATTCCAAATAGGAATGATCATAATTTACTTAGCCATTCACCCGTTGGTGGAATTTTTATTATTTATAGCTTTTCACTACTACAGTGATAAAATGAACATCTTTGAACAATTAAATATGTACACTTGTGCTGGCATTTATGTGAAATATGAATGTAAGTTTTTTAATGACAATATGGAGAAATTCTTCAAAGACCAAAGGCTGGTGAACAAAAGCCTGAGCCTCCCAGTCAGAACATGACATTTTCTGGACCTTATAGTCCAATGATAACAATGGTCCAAGTTCATGGATAGGCTCCACTGTGAATCTGTTCCAGATAAGCACCCAGTTCAGAAGACACTTTGATATTCCTTAGTTTCTGGGAATCTGGAAGATCACAACAAAAGGGAAATGCCCAAAAGGATCCTTGCATCTAGCAAGTTATTTCCTCGGAGGAATCCTCATTAATCTGTAAGGAACCAGGCTGACTCTTCCCTAGTTTTCTATACCAGAGTTGCATCTATGTCTTAGAGAGTGAAAGAGCATAAGAAGGGATCCATATGCAGATAAACATTCCTCCCTGAATATTTAAAGGAGTTCAAGCAAGTTTTATTGGAATTATTAGCTGTTATCTCTCTCCTGTCAGTTAAAACTAGGAGAAAGGGACTCATACAGAAAAGAACTCAAAATTCCAAAGCTTTCTCAAGCCCTGCTGCCAGGCACAAAAGCCAGGACATGTAAAAAGAGCTATTCACTCCTGCATTGGAGGTTTGGGGATTGTTATCAGGCAGAGCAAAAGGATAGCAAAAGGATAGGACGGGTGCCAAATATGTGGGAGAGGACAGCAAATGAAGCAAACAGCTAAAGCATTAAGGCTGTTCTATAATAGGAAAGGAGTTGCATAGATATGAAAGGAAAAGTAAGATTAAGAGAATAAAAATTAAAATGCAGAGCATGCATTAAGACCAAGTGGCCATGTGTTGTTCTAAGGAAAGGGTCTTAGAAATAAACCCTCCTATATGGGAACTTTAGCAAATTTTGTGAAGGGCTAGATTGAAACAAACATTCTCTTTGGGTCAGGTGGACAAAAGAATTTCCCATGAACAAATTCCATAGTAAATCCACATTCTCACTCAATATTTCTGAGATTTCTTGTCTTTCTCATCACTCATTTATCTCCTTCTCAGCTTCACAGGCAGCAAAGGTTAGCAATGAAAAACCAAACCTTTCTGACAGAATTCATTCTGCTGGGACTATCAGACATCCCGGAGATCCAACTTGTAATCTTTATATTTCTCTTCCTCACCTACGTATTCAGCATCATTGGAAACCTGACAATCATCACCCTTACTCTACTGGATTCCCACCTCCAGACTCCCATGTATTTCTTCCTCCGGAATTTCTCCTTCTTAGAAATTTCCTTTACAACCACTTTTACTCCCAGGCTGCTGTTCAGCATCACAACTGGAAACAAGAGCATCAGCTTTGCTGGCTGCTTCACTCAGTATTTCTTTGCCATCTTCTTCGGAGCCACAGAGTTTTACCTTCTGGCTGCCATGTCCTTTGACCGCTATGTGGCCATATGCAAACCCCTGCATTACATGACCATTATGAGCAGCACAGTCTGCATCCAGCTGGTCCTCTGCTCTTGGTTGGCTGGATTCCTAATCATCATATCCCCAATCATCCTGACCAGTCAGCTGGATTTCTGTGCCTCCAACATGCTGAATCATTATTACTGTGACTATGGACCCCTCCTAGAAATATCTTGCTCAGACACAAGATTCCTGGAGCTGGTTGACTTTATCTTAGCAGTTGTGACCTTGGTGGTCACTCTGGTGCTGGTGATTCTCTCCTACACAAACATCATCTGGACCATTCTCAAGATCCCCTCAGCTCAGCAAAGGAAAAAGGCTTTTTCCACGTGTTCTTCCCACATGATTGTCATCTCCCTCTCTTATGGCAGCTGCATCTTCATGTACATAAAACCCTCAGCTAAAGAAGGAGTTGCCTTCAATAAGGGGGTAGCTGTGCTCAATACTTCGGTTGCTCCTTTATTGAACCCATTCATTTACACCTTAAGGAACAAACAAGTAAAACAAGCCTTCAAGGATGTGACCAGAAAAATAGTGCATCTTTATTCATTTTAATGGCCTCAAAATCAATAGAAATTTTGAATGAAATTCTTGAAGGTACTCCAACTGATAACTTGAGCTTCTGATATCTCTTTTTTAATGTTTTTATTTATTTTTGAGAGAGAAAGAGTGCAAATGGGGGAGGGGCAAAGAAAGAGGGGGACAGAGGATCCAAGGCAGGCTCGGTGCTGACAGCAGAGAGCCCGATGCATGGCTCGAACTCATGAACTGTGAGATCATGACCTGAACCAAAGTCAGATGCTTAACTGACTGAGCCACCCAGGCGCCCCTGATATCTCTTTTAAAGTAATTTCTCATATGAATCGATTGTGAGCATGCATCAAAATTTTGTTTTAAATTTGCAAGCAAGAGAAAGATATTCAAAGATCCTTTTTCTGGTACATATAAGGGGGAAATTAAGGGGAAATATTAGGGGGAAATAAGAGGGGAAATTAGGAAAATAATATTTTTGGACTACATATAAAAAAGAACAATCTGATTAAAAATTATTTTGCTTATCATAAATCGGGTGATCAGCTGAATGTTTAAGTCTGTTTTCCCATGAAAAGCTATTAGTCTTACCAATCACTATCAAAAAGTTGTAAGCCCATTTTTTCAGAAATTCCTCCATACTTCCCAGAAAATATTATTCATGATGTCACACACACACACACAATTATACTTCAGATCATCTTTCTTAGGTTTTCAACTATTTGCTTTCTGAAGTTTCTCCCTCTGGCAGCTCTTAAAGGTTGCCTCTTTCTGGCATCTCCTATAGAAAATACTTCCTACTGTAAAGGACAGCATGGAATTTCATGATCATTCATAAAGACATTTCTGACTCATTTGAGAGCTGAAATCAGAAAGATTTGGATTCCATTTAAAGGAAAAATCAGACGAAGAGATTATCTCAGGCCATGTTGACAATGATTAAAATCTATAGAAGCTGGAGTGTGGCAAAGTATGCCTGACTTTTAAAGAACACAGTAAATCCTTGGTTTTTGAGCATAATTCATTCTAGAAACATGCTTGCAATCCAAAGTACTTGTATATCGAGGTGAATTTCCCCATAAGAAATAAGGGAAACTCAGATGATTCGTTCTATAACCCAAAAATATTCATAAAAATTCTTACAATACTGTAATGTAATATAATACAAAATAATCAAGAAAATACAAAATATAAAGAAAAATAAACAAATTAACCTGAATTTGCCTTTGAAAACCCTCATGGCTGGTATGAGGGAGACAAGAGAAAGGAGGGCTATTGTGTAGGACAACTTTCACTATCACTAACAGAATCACTGGTACCTTTTGGCTCAATGGAATCTTTTACTTTTCATGCAGCTTTAGAAGCTATCCAATGACACTTGCTTCGCCTCCTTTTGAAGATTTCGTTGAAAAGTGATATTGCATTGTCATTAAACAGATTCATCACTCACACTGCTACGGTCTTATTCGGGTGGTGCTTTTCTACAAAATTTTTCACTGTTTCCCACATTTTACACATCTTTCTAATCTCATTTGAAGTGAGGGATTCCCCCAACTTTTTCTCCTCCTCTGCAGACAAGATCTCCTCCATAACCTCTTGCTGTTGCTCACGATGCAACAGTTGGAAGCAAAAGTCAGATGCCAGTTGTGGGAACCTTCCAAAGTTCTATAAAATCACTGATTTCTACCCAACACTGTGGCCTGAGACTGAGCATCCAAGCATGGGAGATGATCACCCACCATCCCGCAGTGAGAGAGAGAGAGAAGAACCATTGGCTCAGTTGTGATCATGTGACATTCTGCATCACATACTACTCATATTGCAAGACATTGCTCATTTATCAAGTTAAAATTTATTAGAAATGTTTGTCCATCTTGTATAACACTCACAGAACAAGTTCCTCTCAATCCAAGGTTTTACTGTACATTTGTAGATGAGACTGAGGAAGTTGGAAGAGTTACAGATGCTACTTAGGGAGGCTTTAGGATACTATGGTCTATTAACTATCTCCACAACTTCCTGCAGTTCAAGTCCCTTGGCTGCCCCTCTTACTCTGCCAATCCTTCTGGTAAATGCTTCTGGCAGTCAAGTAGAGCCACATGGCCTCTACTCCTAAGGGCCCATTATCACCATGAAAATTAACAAGTCCAACTCTGTGACCATCTGTCCTACTATCATCCCTAGTGAATGAGTGTCATTATTGAACTTTTAGTGATGCTGATGTCCCTCTCAGCAGCATATTCCTTATGTCCTCAGTGAATGTATCCTATTGACCCTCCTGTAGAACAAATCTAGTGAATCTAATGCTCTTACATCATTCCATTATGCTTACCTCCTTCAGCCTTTTTATTCCTTCCATTACCATCCTTCAGGGAAAGTCAGGTATTTCCACATCACTCAGTGTTGTTGGAAATCACTTTTTCAGGTTCTAAAAGCCACCCCAGCAGTGAAATGGGGTTGTTGCTAAGATGCAAAATCCCACATCTTGAGGATGTCACTAAATTCTTCCTCAGCCAGTATTATATTCTGGGACCCTGACCAAAATCGAATCCCAAAGACACTTTTCTGACTTCTGGCAGTACAAGCTAGCCAACTCTTTCAATTTTTCTAGTGTATATGTTCTTCCCTCCTTCGCCAAGCCCAGTATGTCCTCAGATGGATAATACTAGTTACCAGCCTGGCATCCAGGAGAAGAACTGAGGAAGAAGCATCTGGTGCCTTATAAGAGAGAGGCCTCAGAAGCATCTTTCAGCTAACTCTTGGTAGGGAAGAGTGGGCCACCTCTACAAATCCAAATTGTTAATAGCAAGCAACAAAGTCAAAATCCTCACAAGCATTCATCCATATGTGCCTTTTCCATGTTTCCAATACCCATGTTTTCCCCATTAGGGACTTGAGTTTCATAACTGATCTGCCTTGGATGAGCATTGAAATGTCTCTGGAGTTCTATACTTCTAACAAGTAGATCAACATGTCACTCAACTATGTCTGCCCTTCAACTACAGGAGATAAGGGCCTCTTTGTAATTTACAACATAAGTAGACCCTCTGGCTCTCATTCATAGCCACTAACTGCTTGTTAACATCCCTTAACTCTCATTATCCCTCATCAAGGCATCAATATAACTTGGCAGTAACCAATCAACTCTACCATCTTTGTAGGCATTTATTTCCCTGTATTTTTCAAATGCCTACATCATCACATCTGCCACTGCATTCTCCTTCTCTGAGACATTTTTCCAGATCAACATCAGTGAATTTAGCAACTGAGCCACCACACTATACACAAGATATTACAAGCCCATAATGGAAGGATTTTGAAGATTATGGTGCACTGAAATTATTGATAGCAACAACAAAAACTAAATTCAGTTCAACTCCTGACTAGGATGAATAAACCTATCATTATCTTTACAGAATAAAATACACACCCATTTCTCCACTTCTCTATATAAATACTATTTATCTCAGTCTCTACTATTTGTCTACATGTAATGTCCAACATGCAATCAAAGATTACAATACAAGGGCACCTGAATGGCTCAGTCAGTTATGCGTCCAACTCTTGATTTTGGCTCAGATCATGATTTTGTGGTTCATTCGAGCCCCATGATGTACTCTGCACTGACAGAAGAGTACCTGCTTGGGATTCTGCCTCCCTCTCTCTCTGTCCCTACCCCCCCCCCAAAAATAAATAAGTAAACATTTTTTAAATTATAATGCACACAAAAAAATCAAGAAGGAACTCATTATCAAAACACAATTTTGAACCTAACTCTGAGATGACACGTATGTTAGAATTATTAGTCAAGGACTATAAAATAATTACAATTGCTCTGTTAAAAGATTTAATGAGCAAAGTGGACAACACGCATGAACAGTTGGGAAACTTTAACAGAGAGAAAGTTTGTGTGTGTGTGTGTGTGTGTGTGTGTGTGTGTGTGTGTGTGTTTAGCATAATGGAACGCTAGCACTAACATATACGTGAACAAAAATAAAAAACTCTGTAATGGGTTCATAAGCCTACTGGACACAGTTTAGGAAAGAATCAGTGAAAGTGAATACAAGTCAACAGAAATTATCCAAATTAAGTACAAAGAGAAAAAAGTATGGGAAAAAAAGTAGACCATTTCAGAGCAATAGGACAATATAAAAAACTCAAAAATATGTGCAATAGAACTCCCAAAAGAAAAGAGAAAATTGGGCAGAAAGAAATATCTGAAGTGATGTCAGGTAATTTTCCAATCGTAATGAAAGAAAACAAAACACAGACCCAAGAAAACCAGAGAACCCATTGCAGAATATCAGGATGAATGATACACACAAACATCTCTCTCCCTGCCCCCTCTCTCTCCCACACACACGCACACACTTAGATATATCATATAAAACTTACAAAAACCAAAATAAGAATATTTGATGAAATCATTCCAAGAAAAAACAAACTACTCATTAAAAAAAACAAGCATGAGAATTTCAGTAGATTTCTCAAAAGAAATTATTCCACCCGGAAGACAATGGTATGGCAGCTTTAAAATACTGGGAAGAATTCTATTGACCTAGAATTCTATGCCCAGTGAAAATATCTTTCAAAAATTAAGGCAAAATAAGGAATCTTCAAAGAAAAAAAAAAAGGCACATCAAAACTACAATGAGATATCATCTTTCACTTGTCAGAATGGCTAAAATCAAAAACACAAGAAACAACAAGTCTTGGCAAGGATATGGAGAAAAGGGAACACTTATGCACCATTAGTGGAAATTCCACAGTGGTGTGGCTGCTGTGGAAAACAGCATGGAGATTCCTCAAAAAGTTAAAAATAGAACTACCTTATGATCCAACAATTGCACTCCTGGGTATTTACCCAAAGAATACAAGAACACTGAATAAAAGGAATAAATATAGGGATGTCTGGGGGGCTCAGTCAGTTAAATGTCTGACTCTTGGTTTTGGCTCAGGTCATGATCTTGCAGTTCATGGGTTCAAGCCCCCCATTGGGCTCTGTGCTGAGATAACAGCATTTACTCTCTCTTCCTCTCTCTCTGTCCCTTCCCTGCTTGTGTCCTCTCTTTCTTCCTCTCTCTCTCTCTCAAAAATAAATAAATGAACTTTAAAAAAAGGAATACATGCACCCCTATGTTTATAGCACCATTATTTACAATAGCCAAGATATGGAAACAGCCCAAGTATCCATCAATTGATGAATGGATAAAGAAGATGTGTGATACACACACACACACACACACACACACACACACACACACACACACAAGAGAACATTTATTCAGCCATTAAAAAGAATGAAATCTTGTCATTTGCAATGACATAGCTGGAGCTAAGCAACATAAGTCAGTCAGAGAAAGACAAATACCAATGATTTCACCCATATGTGGAATTTAAGAAACAAAACAAACAAGCAAAGGGGGAAGGAAGGAAGGAAGGAAGGAAGGAAGGAAGGAAGGAAGGAAGGAAGGGAGGGAAAAATCAAGACACAGACTCTTAACCATAGAGAACAGACCAATGGCTACCAGAGGAGGTGGGTGGAGGGATGGGTTAAATAGGTGATGGGGATTAAGAAATGCACTTGTGACAGGGCGCCTGGGTGGCTCAGTCGATTAATCGGCCGACTTCAGCTCAGGTCATGATCTCGCGGTCCGTGAGTTCGAGCCCCGTGTTGGGCTCTGTGCTGACAGCTCAGAGCCTGGAGTCTGTTTCAGATTCTGTGTCTCCCTCTCTCTGACCCTCCCCTGTTCATGCTCTGTCTCTCCCTGTCTCAAAAATAAATAAAACGTTAAAAAAAATTTTTAAAAAGAAAAGAAATGCACTTGTGATGAGCACAGAGTGATGTATGGAGGTGTTGAATTACTGTATTCTACACCACCTGAAACTAATATAACACTTTATATTAACTAACTGGAATTAAAATAAAAGCTTTTTTTAAAAAAAAGTTGACAGAAAATGCCGTGGAGTTATTTCTAGACAGTGTATTGTAAGTCCTAGAGGGTGAATGGGGTAATAGATAAAATGTCAGCAATGTTCTGATCTCAAGGCTATTGAATGCAATAGCATTATGAAATACAGAGCTCCATGATCCCCCAAAAAACAGCTTATACACAACACTTGCTGTAACTCCCTGACATTCCTTGAAACCACACGCACTCCCTTCATGCCTTCATGTAGCCACCAGATATATGTCTGGCTAATGTCTAAAGATCCTTTGTGTTATGGTCTTTCATCCATTTTAATTTTATTTTTGTGTATGGCATAAGAAAGTGGTGTATGGTGTAAGAAAGTGGTCCAGTTTCATCCTTCTGCATGCTGCTGTCCAGTTTCCCCAACACCATTTGCTGAAGAGAGTGTCTTTTTTCCATTGGATATTCTTTCCTGTTTTGTCAAAGATTAGTTGGCCATAGAGTTGTGAGTCCATTTTTGGATTTCTATTCTGTTCCATATATCTATGTGTCTGTTTTTGTGCCAGTACCATACCATCTTGATGATTTATAAGATAGCTTGAAATTCAAAATTGTGATGCCTCCAGTTTTATTTTCTTTTTCAAAGTTTCTCTGGCCATTCAGAGTCTTTTGTGGCTCCATACAAATTTTGGGGTTGTTTCTTCTAGTTCTGAGAAAATGCTGTTGGTATTTTGACAGATATTGCATTAAATGTGTAGATTGCTTTGGGCAGTATAGACATTTTAACAATGTTTGCTCTTCCAATCCATGAGCATGGGATGCTTCCACAGAGCACACATTTTTCAGAATACACATGGAACATTCTCCATAAGATCACATATTAGGTCACATATTAGGCTCAACAAATACAAAAAGAATGAAGTCATACCATGCACCTTTTTTGACCACAACACTATGACACTAGAAGTCAACCACAAGAAAAAATCTGGAAAGACCACAAATACATGGAAGTTAAACAACATGTTACTAAACAATGAATGAATCAACAAGGAAATAAAAAAATAAATGACAAGAATACATGGAAACAAATGAAAATGAAAACAAAACAGTCCAAAACCTTTGGGATGCGGCAAAAGTGGTCCTAAGAGGGAAGTATATACTAATACAGGTCTAACTCAGGAAGCAAGAAAAGTATCAAATAAACCACCTAACCTTACTCCTAAAGGAGCTAGAAAAGAAAAACAAATGAAGCCTAAAGACAGAAGAAGCAAGGAAATAATAAAGATTAGAGCAGAAATAAATGATATAGAAACTAAAAAATATAATAGAACAAATCAAAAAGGGAACTAGTTCTTTGAAAAAATTAATAAAATTGATAACTTCTAGCGTGACTCATCAAAAAGAAAAGAGGAAGGACCCAAATATATAAATCATAAATAAGAGAGGAGAAATCATAACCAACACCACAGAAATACAATTATAAGAGAATATTGTAGGGGCGCCTGGGTGGCTCAGTTGGTTGGGTGGCTGACTACAGCTCAGGTCATGATCTCGCAGTCTGTGAGTTCGAGCCCCACATCAGGTTCTGTCCTGAGAGCTTAGAGCCTGGAGCCTGCTTCCGATTCTGTGTCTCCCTCTCTCTCTGCCCCTTCCCTGCTTGCTGTCAGACATTCTCTCTCTCTCTCTCTCTCTCTCTCTCTCTCTCTCTCTCTCTCAAAAATAATAAACAATAAAAAAAACTTTAAAAGAGAGAATATTGTAAAAAACTACATGCCAACAAATTGGACAACCTAGAAGAAATGGACAAGTTCCTAGAAACATATATACTACCAAAAGTGAAACAAAAAGAAATAGAAAACCTGAACAGACCAATAACCAGCAACAAAATTGAATCAGTAATCAAAAAACTCCAAACAAACAGAAGCCCAGCACCAAATGGCTTCAAAGGCAAATGCACCAAAAATGTACCAAATGTTTAAAGAAAAATTAATACCTAATTCTTCTCAAACTATTCCAAAAAATACAAGAGGAAGGAAAAATTCCAAATCATTCTATGAAGCCAGCATTACCCTAATTCCAAAAACAGATAAAAAAAAAACTACGGGAAAAGGGAATTACAGGCCAAAATCTCTGACGAATCTATTTGCAAAATTCTAGCACACCAAATCCAACAATACATTACAAAAAATCATTCACCACAATCAAGGGAGATTTATTCCTGGGTTGCAAGTGTGGTTCAATACTCACAAATCAATCATCATGACACATGAGTTTGAGCCCCACTTTGGGTTAGCTTGAGTCCTGCTTTGGGCAAAAAACATGAGCCCTGCTTTGGGTGAGCCCCACTTGTCTCTCTCTCTGTTCTCTCTCTCTCTCTCTCTCTCTCTCTCTCTCTCTCTCTCTCTGCCCCTCACTCATGTGCACCCCCTTTCTCTCTCAAAAAAAAAAAAATGTCTAAACTACCCAAAGCAATCTACCCATTTAATGCAATCCCTATCAAAATACCAACAACATTTTTCTCAGAGCGAGAACAATCATTCCTAAAATTTGAATGGAACCACAAAAGACCCCAAAGAGCCAAAGCAACCTTGAAAAAGGAAAACAAACCCAGAGACTGGGAGGAGGGAGATTTGGGGGAGTGTTTATTAAAGAGTAATGGGGGCACCTGGGTGGCTCAGTCAGTTGAGAGTCCGACTTCGGCTCAGGTCATTATCTCACAGCTCAGGAGTTCAAACCCCACGTCAGGCTCTGTGCTGACAGCTCGGAGCATGGAGCCTGCTTTGGATTCTGTGTCTCCCTCTCTCTCTGCCCATAACCCACTCGCATCCTGTCTCCGTCTCTCTCAAAAATAAATAAACATTAAAAAAAAATTTAAGGGTAAATGGTTTCATGTTGTAGGAAATGAATTAGTCCTAGAGATCTACTATACAGTATAGTACCAATAGTGAACAACATTTAAAAATTTGTTAAAAGAGTAGTTCTTATGTTAAATACTCTTATCACAAGCAAAAAAATAAAAACAGGGAGAGAAGGATACTTTTAGAGGTGACAGTTAGGCTTATTGCACTGTTCATGGTGACTTTTCACAGTATATACTTCAAACTCATCAAGATGAATACATTACATACATATAACATTTTTGTATGTTAATCATACCTCAACATAAATAAGTATACATACATACATACATACATACATAATAAACTGCCACCTTAGAATCTATATTCAATTAAGGTATCCTAAAAAACTAAAGATTATTATTTCTGGTTCCAGCAAAGATGAAGTAGAAGCATTCCTCACAGATATTACAACTAAAAAACCTGGAGAGAACACAAGCAAGCATAAGAAGGCTGTGAAAGAAGGAAGACTACCTAGGGACCTCAAGAACTGAGGAACAACATGCCAGTGAGACTCCTGGGTTTTCTATCAACTCTCATATATCCCAGATAGAGAACTTAAGAAGCTTTCAATCCAGAACCATCAACAGGCACAAAAATATAAAAACTCCCCAAAAAGGCTATTTCTCCTAACCAAAGGACCAGGAGAAAGATGAGCTAACAATGGAGAACCACTGGGGAATAGCTTCCCTACTCCAGTGAAACACCAACAGAAAAAATACACACCCCAACCTTTGCAGCTTCAGCAGAACCAGACAGGGAGTTGATTTTCGATTCCGCCTTCCCACCCTGCATAAGTGGTATTGCAATGATTTCCCACACCTAGCAATGTTGGCTGGTCTCAGAAGATAGCTATCTTCCATCTCATAACTGGCTGTAGCAGGTGGTTCTCTAATTCCTCCATCAGATAGTATCAGCAGGGCCAAAAGTGGAGTAGATCATCCATCCCCTACACAATGAAAGCATCTCACTCTGCTTTCCCAGGCAGGATGCTGTCAGTGGGCTGAATGGGAAGCTGATCTTTCATTCTCATCCAGTGGAAATAGGGAATGCTTCAACTCCCTCTGCAGAGTAGTATCAGCAGGTCCAGTGTTGAGCCAGCCTCCACTCCCACCTGGAGGTGGTGTCATTTGAAGCTACATTCTACTTTCTTCCACCCTTTCTGTCATTGGGGTCCAAGGGGAACTGAAACTCCACACCCACCTGAGAGCAACAAGACTGAATGAGGCAGTACTAAATAAGACTAGTCAACACTCTGGCCCTCTACAGTGTGAAGCCAGTGGGGAGCTAAGCCTCCACTCCCATCTGGCATTAACAAGTCAGAATGATGTTGTGTGAGGCAGAGGTAGTGTGAGCTCTTCTTTTTCTTCCCTGTGTGAGCAGGGCCCAGTGGAGAGCTGACCCTCCACCTCTATCTACCATCAATGATATGGAATGAAGTGGTGTGAGATGGGCTAGTTGGCCTCCCCACTCACCCACTTCCCCGGCCAGCAAAGATTAGCATGGAACTAGGAAGCCCGACTCTGCAGCAACAAAGTGGTATGAGTCAGATCTCTGTTTGCCTCTCCCTGATGATAGCAGGGTCTAGTGATGGGGTTAACTGTACAGTTCCACTTAAAGGCAAAAAGACAGTGTGAATCAGCACCCTACTTTCAGTGTGAAGGTGTCATCAAGGCTGAGAAGGAAGCTGAACTTCCACTCCACCCTACCCATCTGCAATGAGGCAGCATGAGTAGAGTGTTCACTTTTTTCAGGATGGTGTTGGCAGGGCTCAGCAAGAGGGTGAACATAAGCAATCACATGCCCTTGTGCTTCACCTCATCAAAGAGACCAACTGCTGATAAAATAAATAAATAAAATAGTATGTAGGGTTCAGAATATTATAATAAAATATCAAAAATACAATCCAAAATTGCTCATCACACAAAGAACCAGAAATACCACAATTTGAATGAAAAAGACAATTAATAGATGCCAACACTGGGATGAATCAAATTTCAGAATTATCTCATATGGATTTTAAAGCACCCATTATAAAAATGCTTCTCTTAATTGTGGTTTCTCTTAAATAAATGAAAACACAGAAACTCTCAAAAAGAAATTAAAGTTATTGAAAGGAACCAAACAGAAATTATAAAACTTTAAACACAATAACAGAAATTTTGAATACTCACTGGATGACCTCATGACTGAAGATACAATCAGTGAACTAGAGACAGATCAGCAGCATTTACCCAACTGGAACAAAAAAGAGTAAATACATTTTTTTTAATGAACAAAGCTAGTCAGTTGAGCCTCCAACTTCTGCTCGGTCATGATCTCATGGTTCATAAGTTTGAGCCCCACATTCGAGATACTGTCAGTGTGGAGCCTGATTTGTATCCTGGGTCCCCCTCTCTCTCTCTCTCTCTCTGCCCCTTCTCTGCTCATGCTCTCTTTCTCAAAAATAAACATTTTTTTAAAAATGAACAAAGCCAATTATCACCAAGACACTAGCAAATTGAATTCAACAGTACATGAAAAGAATTATTCACCATGAACAAGTGAGATTTATTCCTGGGTTGCAGGGCTGGTTCAATATTCACAAATCAATCAACATGATACACCATATTAATAAAAGAAAGGATAAGAACCATATGATCCTGTAAATAGATGCAGAAAAAGCATTTTACAAAAATAGCATCCATTCTTGACAAAGACATAGGTGGCAGGGGCACCTGGGTGGCTCTGTTGGTTGGGCATCTGACATCAACTCAGGTCATGATCTCATAATTCATGACTTCGAGCCCTGCATCAGGTTCTGTGTTGACAGCTCAGAGCCTGGAGCCTGCTTCAGATTCTGTGTCTCCCTCTCTCTGACCATTCTCTGCTCACATTCTATTTGTCTCTATTTCAAAAATAAATAAATGTTAAAAAATTTTTAAAAACCCTAAATAAACTAGGGATAGATGGAACATACCTCAACATCATAAAGGCCATATACAGCTAACATACAGACCCACAGCTAATATCATCCTCAATGGGGGAAAACTGAGAGCATTTCCCCTACCATCAGGAACAAGACAAGGATGCCCACTCTCACCATTACTATTTAACACAGTACTTGAAGTCTTCTCCTCCATAATCAGACAAGAAAAAGAAATAAAGGTTGGGGCACCTGGGTGGCTCAGTTGGTTAAACATCCAACTTTGGCTCAGTTCATGATCTCACAGTTAGTGAGATTCAACCCCATATCAGGCTCTGCACTGAAAATGTGGAGCCTTCTTGGGATTCTCTCTCTCTCTGCCTCTCTCTCTCCCTCTCTCTAAATAAATAAACTTTTTCCAAAAAAAATCTTTGTAAAATACAGAGGGCATACAAATCAACAACGAAGAAGTCAAATTTTCACTATTTGCAAATGACATGATACTGTATGTAGAAAACCCAAATGAATCCACCAAAACATTGCTACAACTAATACATGAATTCAGCAGGGTTGCAGGGTACAAAATCAACATGCATAAAACTGCTGCATTTCTATACAACAATAACAAAGCAGCAGAAAAAGAAATCAAGAAATAAATCCCATATACAATTGCACTAAAAACAGTAAGACCTTAAATATAAACCTAATTAAAGAGGTAAAAGATCTGTACTCTGAAAACTATACAAGACTTATGAAAGATATCAAAGAGGATACAAAGAAATGGAAAGGCATTCCATGCTCATGGATTGGAAAAACATTGTTAAAATTTCTATACTACCCAAAACAATCTACACATTTAATACAATCGTTATCAAAATACCAACAGCATTGTTTCTTAGAGCTAGTACAAACCATCCTAAAATGTGTGTGGAACCACAAAAGGCCCCAAGTAGCCAAAGTAATTCTGAAAAGAAAAACAAGGGAGGGGCCAGCAGAACAGCATGTAAGGTTTTTTTTCATCTCTCATCCCTGAAATGCAGCCAGATCAACACTAAACCATCTTGCACACCTAGAAAACTGATTTGAGGATTAACACAACAATCTACACAACCTGAACCACAGAACTCAGCAGGTATGCAGCATGGAGAGGTGAACTGGAGGAGAGAGAAGCCACAGAGGGCAGGGAGCTGTTTTTTCTTGGGGAGAAAAAGCAGAGATGGGGGGAGAGTATGGGAAAAGCACCCCCCCCCCAAAAAAAAGCAGTTGGAGAGAAAGTGGGAAAGTAGAAAGAGCCACAGAGACTAAACGAGAAAGCAGAAAGGAGAGGGTTTAAATTCCAGTAAGACTCCATAAACAGGGAGAGTGTAGTCTAAAACTCCACAGCTTGGTACCTGGTGGTGCTCTGTGGGAAGGGTGAACCCCCAGGAGCAAAGAGAAAGGTCTGAGGGGTCCTTGGGCCACTTGGGGAGAAGCGGTTCCCCTGCTGGGAGGACTTTTGGTAGAGGCCATGCAGCAACCCCAAGGCAAAGGTCCCAGCGGACCCCAAATAACAACCACATTTGCTGGTGTTGGAACAAGGACATTAAGTGTAAAGCTTGGTGCCAGATGTGTGTTGTGATTTTCCATAAACCCTGAAATTCTGCAGCTAGAAGATCATGCAAACTTTTTCTGGGGCGGGCTGGCACCCAGCTGCAGTCTCTGGGCATCAGCAGCAGCACAGTCTCACGAACTTTCCCGGAAGTGGGCTGGCACCTGGCCATTGCTCAGCGCAACTCTCCCCCTGAAGGTCTGAGCATGTCAAAGCTGCAGTCCTCAGAAGTGAGGGGTCAGGAAACACAGCCCCATTTGGGATAAAACTCAGGAGACAGGTGCCACCACGCAGACTGATGGCTTGGTCACAGACAGTGTAGAAGCAGGGAGTGTAGGGAAGCCAGAGACAAAGGTGGGGGTGCTTGGCTGCCAGTCGTGGAGAGCACAAAGTTCTGATACTAGACTGGGTAGCTGGGTGACGCCATTTTCACCCTCCCACACATGTGCATACACACCTACACAAGCCACAGCAATTCGCCCCAGTATGCTAAGCAGCCCATCTAGTGGAGGACAGAGCCATTACACTAAACCCCGCCCAAATGGGCCAAGAGGGCTCTTCACAAACACGTCTCTCCACCTGCTTAGTTTATGGAGATAAAGTGCTTCATAGCTTGACTTCTATGGGAAACCAGATGTAATTTCAATCATACTTCATTCTGTTCACTGTTCCTTTTATTCAATTTCTTTTCCTTTTTATTTTCTTATACTTGGATACAGAAAGAAAAAAACTGTTTTTATTTTCATTTTTATAAAAAGATTTTTCTTTAATTATTTTCTACTACATTTTTTTATTTTTGTAAATGTTTAAAATTCTATTTTACTTTCATCATTCATTTAATTCTATTTTATTGTGTTCATTTTTCAAATTTTCAAACGTTTTCCTTTTTTTGCTTTCTTCTTTTTTTCTTTTTCTTTTTTTCTCTAATCTATCAAGCTTCTTTCAACAACCAGACCAAAACACACCTAGGATCTAGCATCCGTTATTTCATTTCTTTGTGTTGTTTTTAGTTTTTTAATTTTAATTTTTTTTACTTTATTAATTCCTTTTCTTCCTCCAAAATGATGAAATGAAGGAATTCACCCCAAAAGAAAGAACAAGAAAAAATGACAGCCAGGGACTTGACACAGATACAAGCAAGATGTCTGAACCAGAATTTAGAATCACAATAATAATACTAGATGGGGTTGAAAACAGATTAGAATCCCTGTCTGTGGAGATGAAAGAAGTAAAAGCTAGTCAGGGAGAAATAAAAAATGTTATAACTGAGCTGCATTCTCGAATGGTGCTATGGCAACAAGGATGGATGAGGCAGAGCAGCAAATCAATGAGACAGAGGATAAATCTATGAAAAATAATGAAGCAGAAAAAAAGAGGGAGACTAAGGCAAAAAAGCACGAAATAAAAATTAGAGAACTTAGTGACTCATTAAAAAGGAGTAACATCAGAATCATAGGGGTCCCAGAAGATGAAGAGAGAGAAAAAGGGGTAGAAAATTTATGTGAGCAAGTTGTAGCAGAAAAACTTGCTAACCTGAGGAAAGAAAAAAACATCAAAATCCAGGAAGCACAAAGGGTTCCTATTAGATTCAACAAAAACTGACCATGAACAAGGCATATCATAGTCAAATTCACAAAATGCTCAGGCAAGGAGAGAATCATGAAAGCAGCAAGGGAAAAAAATGTCCTTAACCTATAAGGGAAGACAGATCAGGTTCACAGCAGACCTATCCA